TTTTGCAGCTGATCAATAATGATAGAAAATGGAATAAAGCGCGGCCTCCAGCCTTGTCATCATTACATGTTGGAGAATGCTGTTTTTATCCATCGCAGCGCGCAATGTGCCGTGTTATTGTGTGAGGCGACACACAGTGGACCATGACCAGTGTGTGATTGAGTGCACTCCATGAATGTGGTATTTATTATAGATGCAGCAGAAGTGAAGAAAGTCACTGCTTTAAATTCCCTAGCTGCTGCCGCTAGCCGCCACTCGTCCGATGTAAACTGAGCGAGTGGCCTATGTGAAATGACGTCTGTCTGTAAAAGTGAGAGAGTGAGGATAGAGATAAAATGACTAATTAGTTAGATTAGCTAATTGAGGGGGCTGGGCACGGGGAGCAATGGCAGATTCATGAGTTACCCTCAGAGGAGTTAGGCCCAGTCGCCATAATGGGGTGTGTGTTTGTGTTTGTTTTTGTACATTTTCAGAACAAAAATGTCCTGACTTTGTAGGAAATCCAAAGTAAACTAATCTGCTTGGTCAGGAGCTGTACAATTTGTACTTGTAACTTTGTAAAGTGCTTATTACAAAAACCTGTATGGTTTTCTTTAAACTAAAAGGACAACACTGTTTTTAGTTACTGAGGTTAAGGTTATAGTTTGGCTTGAAATTCCTATTACATGTACAGGAATATTGAAAAAATGTCAGAGACCACCATTTAATTTATTCAGCTTTCAATCAATACAAGTCATTCATAACATATTAATAAAATACATTAACACATTGCACAAATTACACAAAAACATCCAACACTGAGTGTAATATCAAATGTCAGTATTTAATTTGTTTTTGTGCACCTACTGTCGCTTTAACTCTTCCATCTTTACAAACTTACAGACACCATTTCCAAGAGACACTAATATTCACACTCAAGCAACTACCCAAACACACCTTAGCTGTCTTGCAAATTTGTGAGTCTGCAATAACAAATGTAAAATGGTGAAAAATAAGTGAAAATTGTGTTTCCAAACCTGGAATTCAAATGTGGGACATAGTATAATCCTCTATCATGATGCTGTATATTAAAAAAGGATTTTGTGTGTGTTTGAGTGTTTGAGGGGGAGAAGCAGAAAAAGAATAACAGAAAGAGAGAGAGAGAGAGAAAGAGAGAGGCCCTCTGGCCTGCAGCCCATAAAGCAGGACACTCGCTCTAGGCCTTTTCTCATCCTGGAGCCACTCTAGCCATGACGGGTGTTATGTTCCCATTGGCCACACGTTTTTCAAGGTGTCAAGCATGGAGAAAGGGATTCTATCCCTCCAGCCTGCTCTCCTGTACCACAAAGCCTTCACTCCTGCTGGCTGACCTGAAGCACAGTCAGCAGGACAGCGAAACTGCAGAAGCATTTCACACATGTTCGTGTCTACTGAGGCCTAGACTGAGAGGTTTTTGTCATTTTATAAAAAAGTAATGGCTCTGGAAACCAAACGGCCCCCAAAGCCTGGCTGTAGATGGTGATGAAGGGCCAGATTGCTGTTTACTTCCTGTTCCTTCATCAGCTCCTTCCCTGCCTCCTGCGGCTGACACCAGTGCAGGCGTTTATTTTGACATTCTCAGGCAGCGTTACTCCCGGAGAAGACATTTCCTGTCGTTGTCGCGGAGAGAAACTTTTTGCTGCACACCTCCAGCACACACAGCCAAAGAAAAACATGTTACGTAAGAGCCTGGAGATATCTGAGAGCCCGTGCTGGACTGGACAGAGTGGAGGCAGATTTGCCCTCAAGTTACTGTTCCTTTGGCCGGCGTTTGATTTTACAGCTGAAAAAGTCTGTATGATGAATATTCTGAAAAGGCAGGTTCGGCTCTCTGACATCTTGCACATCCAGTAACTCTCTGATACCACACACACACGTTTTCTAAGCTGCTTATCCTCCTGGGTCAGGTCGCCAGTCCATCATCAGGCAGACACACAGACGTACGCATTCAGTCTCTAGTTCGCCTGATAGCACATCTTTGGTCTGTGGGGAAAAAAACAGAGCACGAGGAGGGTCACACACACAGACACGTGGAGAAAATGCAAACTCAGAACACAGAAAGTACCCCGGGTTGCCCAGCTGGGGAATCGAACCCAGGCCCTTCTTGCTGTGAGGCGCTAGCGCTATCCCCACCATGCTGCCATGCCACTGTGATGCCCACCCTGTGATCCTGGCTGACACATTCATTATATATTCACTTATGGTCTTTATGAACATAATTGATATCACAGAGTCTGCCACAGAATGTGGTCGAGATTTTATCTCCATGTGGCATAAATAAACATGAAAGACTGCTGTTATCGAGCAGTTCACAGTGGGCTTAAAGCCCCAGGGAAGCTGTGTTTCCATTTTAAATAGGTTGATCTACTTCTTGTGGGCACACAATATATATAACCTTCCGATGTCAACTAAATGGGTGCAAAATTCTCCTAATCTTGGGTCATGCATAAGTAAGCAGTATCCCTACCATTCAAAAGGCTGTGTGTTATAAGTTAAAAATTACATATGCAGTGCCCCCCGAAAGTATTTGGACATACTTAAAAATGTAGTAAGTTCATTGTGTGAGGAAACAAAATGTCAACCCAACTGGTACTAATTTTAAATAGACCATTCAAGTCATTTTCTTTTATTAGTATTCTTTTCAAAAAGGCATCATTGTTTGAGGGGTTTCTTTGCAGACCTCTACACGTTTCTATCTAAAATGCCTTTGTATACTTCAGAGATCACGATCCCATCAGTGAACACAAGCTCCCCAACACCACTGCAAGAAAAACAGCCCCAGACTTTAGTAGCCTGGTTGGAATTCTCCACACAAAGTCTTATGTAAAAGTATTTTTCCCTGGAAAACACATTTTATGAAGTACCCCAAAGAACCAATCATTAAAGTGTCTGAATACTTTTGGGGGCCACTGTATTTGGAAACTATTCCAATATTGAATTGTATCAGTACCACCCAGCACTATGCTTTGCTGCACAAAGTGCTTTCAGTCTTCATGTTGTGGTTCTGCATTGCTCGGCACTGAACGCTGAGTAAACGCGAGTATCACAGCACACATTAATGAACAGCGTGGGGCACTCTCACTCTCTGTGTTCTGCTGCTCATTCCAGCTGGCTTCTGCTGCGCTGCTGCTCTACTACTTGCTGCACTTTGTTGATTGCGCCTTTGTGTAAACTAAAAAGTGAGTTTAGAGAAGGGCTGTAAACAAAGCGCTTGCTTCAGCTCGCAGCAGATTGCCGTAGTGCTGAACTTGAGTCAACAAACCCTGTGAGCTCCATATGCGAGCCTCCGTCAGTGCCGCTTGACAATACAATTAGGGTTCCGGCTCACGTACAGAACCGCACTTGCACGCTCGTATGTACAGTATACTCGCCCAGATCTCTCCTTCTGTCGCTTAATGCAGTTGCTTAACGCTGTTGGTGCGAGTGATCGTTGACAGCTCTGATGCTGCTCCTCAAACGGCTCGTTCTCGTGGAGTGCCTGAGCATCCTCTGCAGACAGGCCTGCTTTAATTCACAGCTGTAATTACAGCTCTCCCGATCTCCAGCTCAATTCTTATGTCGCTCAATTACACTAATATGGGGGGTAATTACAGGCACATTAATGAATTTTTGCCTTGGTGCAGGCCCAATTGCAGAATATTTAATCATCTCAGCAGTATTAGAAACCTCATTTTTGTGCTTGAGGTTTCTATGTAATAGTTACAAATTGTTAATTATGTCATAAGATATAATATTCTAATTTTAAAACTGCTTATGCCGATTGTAATTAAAGGGCCCCTATACTTTCTTGTATTTGCGTTTTTTCCTTGATGTCCACTTATGACATTTGTGTGGTTTTATGTAAACAGTCATAAATCATTTTTAAATGACCATTTTCCAGCCTCTCTTTATCCCTTAGAGTTAAACAGGCTGTTTTTGTTATTGTGCCTCATTCAAAAAGAAGTCTAGGCTGAAACACTTCTTATAACTTCAGCATGAATAGGCAGAGCTAAACTGCTGTAGGCTGAATAGGCAGATGTATGTGAATGCAGTACGTTTTAAAACTTTAGACAGTGTTTACAGACTATATCACTATATAACTTTCATTTAAAATGGATGAGAAATATTCAGTCATGGTATGGGTCCTTTAAAGCTCCACCTCTCTAAGGTATCTGCAATGTATATAGTATAGAACCCCGCTGGTGCTGTATAAAAAAAAATAAGGTGTGGGAACAAGATAATCAAGTCGTGGCCACGACTTAGTAAGGTGTAGGAACGAGATCCTAATGCGTTGCCATGACTTAGTAAGGCTAATGCGTGAGCACGCATTAGGATCTCTTTTTTTGGGAATAAGATCTTACACTCATTATAACTTCAGTGTAGATGGGTGGAACTAAATTGCTGTAGGCTGAATAGGCAGATGTATGAAAATGTATTGGCTTTCAATGACATCACAAAACCAGTGAATTCACAATGGACTACTTTTGCAGCTTAGTTTCCATATATTCACTGGGGAGTGATTGGTATGTTGTAAGACTTTAGCAATGTTAACATCCTATATCAAACTCTTTCTTTCAAATAGATGAGGAAAATTCAGTTTTCCATGATATAGGCCCTTTAAAGCTCCATCTTTCCAAGCTATCTGTAATGTATATAGATTCAACTCTTTCACAGCAGCTGCCTCACCAATAAGAGACTGTTAAGTTATTGCCAACCACTAGTTGTACATGTAACTGCAGAAGGACCAGGCTAATTGGTTATGACTATTGTGCAGAGGCTGTTTTCCTGTTCTGTTTCTACAGTAATTGGCCTTCCCATGCTCACCAAAGAACAGGCGGCAGATAGCTAAGTGTTTTCTTTTAGCCATGCAAGCAAGTGCAATTAAAAAAAAAGCCCATTATCCCCCTGGATGTCTTGGCAGTTGAAATAAAACAATACAAAAAAGGTCACCTGCCTTGGGAACCTGCCTTGAGTGTTCCAACACTCCTTTTGTCTATTTCTAGGGAAGAAGACCGGGGTATTTCTCCTTCCTGGACCCATTCTCTCCAGGGGTCTGGCTCTTCATGTTGCTGGCGTATCTGGCAGTTAGCTGCGTGCTCTTTCTGGTAGCCAGGTAACTATCCAGCTCCATGCTGACACCTGCTGACCCAAAGAGGAACCGGTGCAATTTTACTACACTGTTAAAAATAAACAGCATCAGGGGTGCCAAATCTATAAAATAACAGTCATTTATTTCTTATAAATACTGTCTTTTACTGTAATTCACCAGTTTCCCTATTTCAACTAGTTCTGATATACAGTATTCTAACAGAAATACAATATAAGAACAGAAACAACCATTAAAATAAATGCAAATACCTGTTAAATAAAGATGATTACTTGTTTTTGTAAATTTGCATTCTATTTCTGTAAATTAACAGCAGCAGTGTTAAAATACATTGTGTTTTGCATTTACATGCAATTAACATTAAAAAAAAACAGATTAACCATTTAATTAGCATTAGCAGTACTTTGACAGTGAAAATATTTATTATTTAGTTATTTTTACAGTGTACGTAAAGAAAATCAAGAAGGAATACTATACATCATGATTTCTATTTTTTGTGGCCCTTCAAGCTACAATAAAAGAAACTGCTGCACTTTTGTCTTTGATACATGTTTTATCAGTCCATGGCTGAACGGTGAGGAAATTTTAGTCATTTCTACCCAGCTGAACAAACTCATGGCTGTGCATGCTGACCTATGGCTCATTCCTTCTCTTTAAAACACTGTGTATGTACATACACATATAGATGTGGAAATATTTGCTCTTCAAAATTGAGCTTGTGATGCTTTCCTTGTCATGCAAATATCGGACATAGAGCGCAGTAATGCTAGGCTGTCATACTGCTGAGGGAGACTCTGTTCTACACTCTGCAGCACACTCTGCAGAGTGTCATTATAGTGCCATCAGTCACAGGCAGGCCCATGCACTCCACACTCCTCCTCTGGGACTGAAAAACAGGTTACACAGCCACCAGGGACTGCAGGTGACTTCATGCTTTGTCAACTGTTAAAGTTGTTCCTGACTAGCCCGTGTTTGCCTTTTCTCTTGTCTTTCTTTTTTTCCCTCCTTCCACAGGCTCACTCCCTACGAGTGGTACAATCCACACCCCTGCCTGAAGGGACGCTGTAGTCTGCTTATTAATCAGTACTCTTTGGGGAACAGCTTCTGGTTTCCTGTTGGGGGGTTCATGCAGCAAGGCTCCACTATTGCCCCCAGAGCGCTCTCCACACGCTGCGTCAGTGGAGTATGGTGAGAGTGCACACACACACAATCGCTCTCTTGCTATCTCTCTTTCTCTAAATACAGCTTCTTTCTCTGCTCTAACGCCAGTGGCCAGTGGTCTGTAAGTAATAGACATGGTAGATGTGAGCAGTAAAGCTGCACTTTCGCTCGGCCTGTCTGTTTTCCTAACATGTTATTGTGCTGTCGGTTATATGGATCGTTCAAACCACTGCGCGCCAAGGTCAGTGGAGAATGATAAGATGTGGTTCTCATTCAGGTTCCGATCTCACAATAGCATAAAGGGTCCTTGTATCCCTCCAGCACTAAATTAAACTGAAATACATTATAGGACAAATTTTATCACAAAACTACCATAAAACAATGTCTCAGACTTCAGGTATCGCATATATAACGATTTCACGTAATAACTTTCTGTGAGGGAACTTCCAGAGGCATTAAACTCTTCAGACGTCTGGTTCCTATCACCACCACTGTGAACAAATTCTGACTTGCTAAGTGTCCCTAGAAGCATTTTAGACCAAACCACACTGAATTACTTTATTTACATCTTAACCATTTAATTATGCAGAAATTGTGCAAAATCGGTGGAGTTGCGTTTTTTATAATAACAAAAACAGGTCGTGACAGGTCGAAGTAACTCAGGGGAAATCTCCATAGGAGGCTGTTACTGCACCAGAGTAGGCACATGAGCAGTGAAGCTCATTGAACTCAAGTTGACTACCGAGCTCTGTTCCTGGAGCGAAGCTGAGCTAAGTCTCACTGAAATATGTTCTGAAGAGTGGCCATATAAAACACAGTTATTCTACACTTGACCAAGAGGGCACTTGGACAGTCTGAGGACAAAAGGACAGGGGCCTGTGATATAACTGTGTCCATGCCTAATTAAGTTTAATCTGGGGCTGGGAGACTAGACTCCAGAGTTCTTTGCTGGATCTATGTCTTGGTCTGATCTGCAGTTGTTTTCCATTCAGTTTTCTCTTTGTCGATGTCCAGGTGGGCCTTCACCCTCATCATCATCTCTTCCTACACGGCCAACCTGGCCGCCTTCCTCACTGTGCAGAGGATGGAGGTGCCCATCGAGTCCGTAGACGACCTGGCAGACCAGACGGCCATTGAGTATGGCACCATGCACGGAGGCTCCACCATGACCTTCTTCCAGGTAAGTCGTCTTTCCAAGGGCACAAGCACGACTGCTACAGCAGTCCTCGCAGAATCAATGCCATGTCAGCAGGCTTATCAGACATGTCACCACTGCTCTTACCTGCTCAGGCTTTATCTGTTCTCTGGCTTAATGTCATTGCCATTCAATATCTTTGCCCTCTTCAGAGAGCTCCTCAGCCTCTCACTGTGATTTTTTTGTGTGTTTTAAGTCTGTGTGGCTTCACCTGCTTCCTAGTGGAGCCCTGCCTGTTTGACAGATTCACAGCAGCCCTGCTCCATCACGCCCACTCCAAACTGTCAGCATATCATCAAGTCTTTGATTAGTTACATCAGTCATGCTGCCTGAATGTACAAGCTTCGGTGAATGTACAAGCTTGTTGGTCCCTGAAGGGGAGGCCGCAGAAACAGCAGAATTTCTCATGTATGTAACCAGGCGTGAAGAGATGCTAACTTGTTCTGTTTTCTCTGGTCAGAACTCCCGTTACCAGACGTACCAGCGCATGTGGAACTTCATGCACTCCAAGCAGCCCAGTGTGTTTGTGAAGAGCACTGAGGAGGGCATTGCCAGGGTGCTGAACTCCAACTACGCCTACCTGCTGGAGAGCACCATGAATGAATACTACCGGCAGCGCAACTGCAATCTCACACAGATAGGGGGCCTGCTGGACACCAAGGGCTATGGCATTGGCATGCCTCTGGGTGAGGTCCCTAGGTTTAACGAGATCTTAGCTGGTCACCTCATGTTTGCTGCAGTGTTGTGAGGTCAAGAGACAGTAGATTTTGCAGGCACACACAAACTGACTGAACTCTTTAGCTAATTGAGAGGATTTTGGAAAGGAGTTGGAAAACACTTCCTGGAAAAGGAAATCTCATTGCTTGTTGCTTTACTTCTACGATACTCTCTAAAACCCACACCGTCTTTAGAAACTGAGAAGTGCAAGGAAAATCCAGTAGTCCTCTCACTGCTTTATTTGGAACGAAATAGCCAGTCACAATAAATCAGTTACAAAGCGTGTCACTAGTCCATTCTTGGAGCAAAATGGCCTGTTATGCTGATTAACATAATGAATGGCTGATGCTATGTAAAATTGAAGGAACTAGCCAGTAGAAGCGGTCAAAAAAGAGCTGCTTCTAAATAAAATCTTTATAAATAAAATGTAAATCACACAAAGCTGTTTCTGAGCGGCCTGTGTAAGAGAGGTTGGTGAGGAGAGGTCTTTCTTCTTCAGCATGGGGATCTTTATCCCTCAGTTTCACGTTAGGATAATTAGATGCTTGCACAGATTACATAAGACGTTTATGGTGATGTTTTTGCCCACATTGCACTGCTCACATTCGCTGTCATGGTTTCTCTGGTTGGTCTGTGCCCTTTTCTGTTTACGCAGGTTCAAAGGTAAGCTAAACCTTGTCTGGGTTACATTATTTGCTAAAAATCACTTTAATATGATATCAAAGGATAAATAACATTACAGAAAAAATATTAAGATCTGTCAGATTAAACAGGACTGTTCAGTGCTCACATTTGTGATTAAAACATGATGTGCAAATATCAATATTAATGCCCTCGTATATCTGCCATTCTTTGTAAGGTTTCGCTAAACTTTGCTGAAAGACATTGTGTAAAATACAGTGAGTCCTCCTAAGCCTCTAACATTGCTCTGACTAGCTCCAGCGTTAGCTTTAGCATTAGCTCATCTGTTGCTAAAACTTCCACTTTATTAGAGATGAAAACTTCTTTAAAATCAAATGACTAAATGAATTCACTGATTTGATTAATGTAAATATGATTTCCGAAATGCGTTTTTGTTTGCATTAAATTGGTGTACAAGAACATTTAGTCAGTTCTCAAATAATCTGCGTTTAACATCTTGCAAAGCTGGTTTATTTTTGAGTTAAATGTTTCTAATGTTGCTCCTCTGTGTGCTGTATTTCTCTTTGCACTGCAGAAGGTCTTTCTCTATTAGTACAAGTGTTAGAGATGCTACTAGGTGGCCTGCTTTGCTATAGGAAAAAGTATTCACATTACGTTGTGCTACATTGCCCCCAACACTGGTATTGGGAACCATTGCATTAACAGAAACAGTCATGAGTTGATGTTTCAGAATGAAGTGAATGTGAGATAATTGAGGTGTACTTTGTGATTAGCACTGCTTTCTTTCTGATTCCTTGTGTTTGCGCAGGCTCAGTGTACCGGGATGAGTTTGACCTGGCCATCCTCAAACTGCAAGAGGAGAACCGGCTGGAGATCCTCAAGAGGAAATGGTGGGACGGCGGCAAATGTCCTAAAGAGGAGGACCATAGAGCCAAAGGTCTCAAAGTCTTCCTGCTAACTGTTACACCACCGGCATCTTGTTTGCCGTGCTCTGAGTGGATAACTTTGTGCGTTTGTATGTGTCTGTTGTGTAGGCCTTGGCATGGAGAACATTGGTGGGATCTTTGTGGTGCTGGTGTGTGGTCTATTAGTAGCTATCTTCATGGCGGTGCTGGAGTTTGTATGGATGCTGCGTCAGACTCCAGGAACAGAGGTGAGAGAGGGCTATTTTACCTGCCTCTGCTTTGTGTCCTTCTCCCCACCCACGCGCCTCCCCTCCTGAGCCTTTCCCCCCGTTCAGCCCCACCCAGCCCTCCACCTTACAGCACAAACACCAAAGAGTATACCTCACACAGGTCCATTGGTCTCCACTGGCCTGTACCAGCTCTACAGGTATTCCCCAGAGGGTGATTATCACCTCTTAACTTTTTAAAGAGCAAATTTTAAACTTAATATCTGACATATAATCAATGTATAACTCCTGTCTTCTTGTGTCTTTCATAAGCAACATGTGTCAGATTGGACTGTTTTCAAGAAAACACTGTGATTGTTTCAAAGAGAACACATTTTTTTTGCTAAATAAAACTTAAGAATGTCTCAGTAGAACCCCAAGACATGTGACTTCTTTGTGGGGGGTGTACATGCATGGAAGGGACTGATTACATGTTATCAAGTCAAACATTTAAAAAAATTGTGCGTGTTGGGTGTAGACACCATATGCTGTTGTTACCATATGTTTGAGCATATGTGAACGGAAAACATAGGACTAAGTGTCAAACTCCTGCCGCTCCATCCTGAAACCATCTGTCTACTGCATCTGAACTAATTGAGTTAATTGTGGTTAGGAGCTTTTCATTTACCCTTTTGATAAGGTTTAGGTCTTTTTTTCCTGTGATTCCTTTCTGTTCTAGTTACACTATCATTACTCAGCATACCAAGCAATACTTGAAAACACAGAAGTCACATTTTTTTCTCTGTTATTTTTCAAGCCACTCTATTTTTAAAAGCTTACAATTAGATTTTCTATGCTTCCAAGCAGACATTCAGTTCATTCATATTGCTAAAATTAGCAGTAACAAGCAATCAGCAGCCTTCAGGGCAGCTTACGCTGGAAATGATAAACACAGATGCCGAAATTGAGGTTTGTATCTCTGCAAGAGTCAGAAACACAGCCACATTGATGTTAGTCTCACGGGGACAGAGGTGATCTTATAATGAGCACGTCTGAAGACAGTCTTGAGAATTTTTGAGCTAAGTGTGGGTGGGAAGGTAGACTTATTAAGGTGGGAACAGACTAAACATGAAATTTGTAAATGTATCCATGTCAGCAATGTCTTACGGACAGCAGACAGCAAGCCTGTCACTAGCCCATCGATGTAATGTAAGTTAGCATGGCTTAAATGTCCATGGCCTAAAAATTCCAGTTAAGCGTGTAGAATATGTAAAAATAAACATTACCTCTTACAAGGGAAGAACAGCTCCATGAGCCATCAGTAGTGCTTCACTAGCTAGTTTGTTTTTTCTAGTGTTATCAGTTATACTCTGGACATTAAAAGAGCACAGACTAGAGAAACTTAGAGCTGGTTTACCCATGCATATCCTTGATTATGGGGGATTTAACCGCAGTGCAGCGCCAAAAGTTTAACAAGTTGTCCACAGACGTGTATTCTTGTTCCGTGAGACTTCATCGCCGCATGATTCCAAGGCTGAATGTCAGTGTTTTCAGTCTGTTAGGGCAGAAGCAGATCAAGTGGTCTGATCCACAGGCTGGGTAAACATTGATGAAAGTTTATGTTGGTGATGTGTGTTTTCATAGTCTGTGCACCATGTTTGCTTCCAGGTTCTTTGTTAAGGTGTGTGTTGAGTGTGTGTGGGTGAGAGGGGAGAGTGTATATGTGGTCGTTCAGTATTCAAGGTCTGCCTTCAAGCTAGCATGGCTGAAAAAGCAGGCAGCGTGTCCGTGACATTGGTGTTACAAGCTACTGCAAGTGTGGAGCAATTAGCTCTCAGTGTGAAGTGTGATTGGCCCACAGCTCTCTGTATTAACTGCCACCTCCCACCACCTTTAACTGTGTTTAAACTGATAGGTCAGCAAAAAATCTAATTTACACAATTGTATACTGATCCCAAATATAGTTGAGAGGTTTAGTGTCTGAAGTTTGCTTCTTTTGTTTTGCTCTGCAACTACAACGCTAATATACACTACAAGTCAAAAGTTTGGATACCTTCCCATAAAACAAACCTTGTTTTTACTATTTTCCACATTTTATAATAATAATTGCAATATCAGAACTGTGCAATAGATCATGTAGAAATACTCCAGTCAGACAAGTTGGCGTTACACCAAGTAGGGCTATTTAGACCCCGCCCTCATTCCTCACAACACGACTGATTGGCTGAAATGCTTGAACGAGAACAGACATTACACTAATTAAGCTTTAACTAGAAAGACTTACACACATACACACACAGACACACACACACACACAGACACATATATATATATATATATATATATATATATATATATATATATATATATATATATATATATATATATATACATATATATATATATATATATATATATATATATATACAAAAAGTGTTTTTCATAATCTTAAACATATGACTGCTAATGTAGGTAACAAATAATGAAGTTTATGGCTGTCAGGTGACATTGTGGAAGCTGCATACCTAAATCATCAGACACTTGCCTCCCCATTCAATTGTTAAATGATCTCAAACAGACTAGTTTATGAGCTTTGGAAAAAGTGGAAAAAGTTTTGGAAAAAGTACAGACAAAGGTTTCGTCTTGGTTGCTAGTGCTGTTATTTGCTAACCAACTGACCATTTTTATAGACCACATGAGATCACATGAGCAACTCATGACCATGTGAGGTTTTCAACAGCTTGACGTGGTTTGAGGTGAGTGTCCGACGATTTAGGCAGTTTGCACAGTCTAAATTGGTGGATATCAGCCTTCATTACTTGTTAGCTATGTTAGCTCTGTATGTATTGGATGCCACCCATGCTTATACTCAAACACATACCAGGCTAATCAACTTTTTTGGAATGAGGAGAAAATTGTGTAGATTTGATTTTTAAACAGTCATCTGAGTCCATCTGAGTCTAAGCCTGTCGCTGGTTTCTGCTCCCAGAGAACCGCAAACAGCTGAACTTTTGATATAGTTTTGAATCACCCACAGACTACTATGATATTAAAAGTTAAAGGAATGGTTTGACGAAAAGTCAAATGTACATGATTATTTGTTTTCCCTAGTTTAACTGGCAAACTGAGCCCGGTTTTGTATAAAACACTTCTGTAACTTTGCAGAAGGCTAATAGTGCTAACAAGATGTGAAAGGCTGTAGGCTTCCATTAGTATGACGGAAATTGCCCAGTGAAATTAAACACTTGTTCAATAAACATCATTTAATGTTTCAAACAGAAATGCAGCTGAAGAATAGCAGAATAAATGGAGTTATTAAATAACTGATATCTGGGGGAAGATTATGCCTGCAGCTTCTCCTCCAACACCATTCCATTCCTGTTGTCCCAAGTTCCCCACTGCCAGAACCTTATGGCCTTGTCCCATTGACTATCACTCTTTCTACCACCCCTTGGTCATCCCACCTACCAGCACCTGCCTCTTCAACCTTACTCTGTACTTTGGTGGTATGGGTTTCCACAAACACTGCCACTTTTTTTCAGCCCACGCAGCAACCTGACTCTCATTTTTATCCCAACCACTCGTTCTTTCCTGCCCTATTCTTCCCAACTCTTCCCCTCTTCATTCTACTCTTTGCTCAGCCTCCTATTGCATTTTAACAGCTCTGGTCCTGCCAGTCACATATTAGACTTAAACTTCACTGTCTGCTGGCCCTCCTGCCATGCTACTTATCAGTGTCCACCTCTTCAGCCTTCCTTAAGAGCTCCAACCCACATGCTTCTAAGGTTCTTAATGTCCTTGAGTTTGCCCTTGCATCACACCACAGAAGTCTGCCTTCATCTCCTATCTTCAGTTCTGCTTCACATTTGTCCATCCAGAAAATATCTGCCTTAAATCCTTCTGTTTCGGCTTTACCTACCTTGAGTCTGGTTCTTGCACTGATTTATTTTATGAAGATGCTGTCCTCCCCCCCGAGGATACCTTACTGATTGACCCCTGCGGAACTGTATCCCTTGATCGTAATTGGTCTTCTTTGGGGGGCTTGAACGGACAAAGTGATTCTCATCCACTGTGATAGCTAATAAGAATACTCTAAAGTCATCTTGCTGTGAAGAAAGCATCGACTAGATGCCTCAGCCAATCAACCTTCGCAAACTCCTGAGGTGCTGTTGCTCTTGCTTCTAACAGCCAATGCCTTCATGATATCCTTCATGATATCCTAAACTTCCTTCCGGAAGTAATAATCCGCCTCACAAGTCGTCCAGCGCTTTATCTACCATGTCCCCATATCTAACATCATGTCTGTGTCTAACGTAATTGTTCGTTTCACAATCTGATGTTGACCTTGTTTTTCTCTCTCAAGGTTTTGTCCTTAGAGAGGTTGTTCTTGACAACTTGAGAAGGTCACCTACTTACCTGTTTAGGATAATTCTTTCACCAACCAATCAGAATCCTTAAATTAGCACCTCCAGCTCAGACACTCGATGCAGTACCCTCTGACTTACTTTTCATTTCCGAAATCAACTCCTTTGCTTTCCATTACTGGCCCATAGTCTTTGCACAACATTCTCATTCTATGTTACATTTATCATGATACCAGTTCAGCATCTTCCTAAGACTTCTGTTTCACCGTCAATCTCTTGCATCATCTCTCCTCAAAGTGTGGTCTGGACCCACCAAATGTAAGTTTTGGCAAAGACCATGTCAGAAATTCTTCCTTTCTCCTGTCTACCTTCCTATACATTTTCATCTACAGCTTCAATTTTCTGTGGAAACCCCCACCACTCCCTTTCTTCTACCTATTCCTCAATTCTATCTCACAGTTCTTCAAGGAGGGGTCTGATTTTCTAGCACAAAGTTGAAGATGCCCCCAGTCAAGCAATCCCCTTTTAATACACTAAATATTGAAGAAACTGTCTGAGTTCTCAGATGATGTTTGGGCATTCTTAAAATTAAGAATTTGACTGCTTCCCACCTTGATAATTATAAAATACAAGGTCAAATCGGAAGACCACCAAGCAATATAGATCAAGAGCCAATGCTATATGTGATCATTTGATCAGAAAACAAAGGTTTTGTTCACCTGTGTAATGGTTTAGATTGTAGTTTGCATCATGGAATTTGAAAGCTGTCCTCTCCCTTGTTGTAAGAAATGCTTAGCCTACTAGCCTTGGTGCTAAACTGTTAACCCTTAATTGGTTGTCAGCAAGACTGTAAAAGAGGATCGTGTATGTTTGAGTTTCGTTCTAACTGTTCCTCTAGTTGAACTGTTGACATTTCAAATGCACAGCCTTTCTGTGCAGGTTCACTTAGCTTTCTGGGCAGCATGTCATTCCTGGTAGCTGGGCTGTTATTTTGATCATTGTGCTGGCTGTGCTGCCTGCAGCGTGCAGTGTGTCAGTGAGACCCCCTGGCCTCTCTCTTTCTCTCTCTCTCTCTCCCTGTCTGTGTCCTCATGTGTGTACATCTCCTAGCTGTCGGTGTGTGAGGAGATGCTGCGGGAGCTGCAGGGCATCGTGCTGTGTCGGGACAGCCTGCAGCTGCGGCGGCGTCGCGGAGGTTCCTCAGCTTTGCGACCGCGCCCCCTGGCCCTGGAGGAACGGCGGCAACGAGCCACAGCCGCCAGCCTCAGTAACGGCAAGTTGTGCACAGGCACTGGCCTGCCCGAGCCCCTCCCCCACAGACTGGCTCAGGAGGCAGCCCTGGCGGCACGTGGTTGCAGCCACATCCGCATCTGCCCTGAGTGCCGACGCTTTCAGGGGCTGCGTGTGCGTCCGGCCGGCCCACCGGGGGCCTCGCCCACACACAGCGAGGACAGCATGGAGTGGGAGAAGACCACCAACAGCAGTGAACCTGAATAACCAGCCTCCGGACCCCGCTGTCCATGTTCTGGATTGGAACTTGAGCAGACCTGGGGCATTGGCGCCTCTGAAAGGCAGGACGCTACGCTCACACTGCGGCAATTCAGAGCACGGACTGAGGAGCCTAGGATAGACTCAACCCATCTGAACTCCCATGTGCGGATGTGTTTGTATTTCACGGCCCTTCTCCGGAGGGGCTCTGGTCTCTGTATACACTGCCCCCTCTGTCATCTGCCCCGAATGGAGTTTTTGGAGCAAACAGCAGAGGGGCTTTGTCCTATGCAGTATTTTTTTTTTCTTTTTTTGTCTTACCGTGCTGTTGATTTTCATTTTTAAATTATTCCTCCTTTGGTTGTGATATCAATCTATTACAATGGCTATTATCTTGTTCTCACAACTATTCATAAATCCTCCTTTTAGTTTCTACAGCCAGTGGAGAGAGACTTCCTCACAGTAGACAGCTGCAGAGAACAAGTTGCAAAGACTTTTCACACCATCATGTTCTAGAACCATTTTTTTAAAGTGCCAAATAAACTTTGTATTGATTTTGTGCTGTTTCAGCATCATGGCCTTGAGGATATGACGACAAAGAGAACTGAAACACAAAACCACAACGGTCTGTTTTTAATTATAGTGATATTCTATTATAAAAGATTTTAAAAGATGTTTCTGGAGGTTTGATGTGCATGTCAGAAGGTTTTTGATGTTGGTAAATGGAAAGTATGAGAGAATTTTGTTTTTCCTAGTCTGATATTTTGCCCAGCAATTTTAAAACCCTTATCAAAGATATTTATTATGGATTTAGCTTGTACTGAAGGGGCTTTGTTGATCATCAAGCATGACTTGAGACTGCAGAATGATACAGTTCTAGCTGGCAGAAGTGTTCTGAGAATATTTGCCTCATATTGTAGCATTTTCATAGGGCTGTTAAGTGGAAACTGTTTCCATTTTCATATTTATTACCATCTGTCAACAACATAATTTCAACTACTAATGCTAGTTAGAACCTTTGGTAACACTTTTTTATGCATTCATAATCCTGTATTTATGAGCCATTATAAATGCACTTATAACTCTTTGTAACTTGACAACAATTGTGTGTAAGCATATTTATAAACTCTCATAAGGCTTCATAAGGCTGTAACAATGGACTCTAAATTATTTTGTGACTTTGTGACATGTAGAAATACAGGTGTTACTACTCATTATAATGCCTTTTTAATTGATAATGACCTGTGCATAATTATAAAGCCCCTATAATACATATTAACAACTATATATAAAAAAATATAAACATGTAAAATACCATCACTGAGTGCTTTAAGTGACATGATTGATTTTTTTGTTATTCTTTGTTATATGTGAAGTATAAGGTACTCATTATTTTTCTCATAACTACAAAAGCACAGGCACATTATTGCAGATAATTGCAGTTAAAATTTCTTGCATTCTAAAAAAAAACACTAAACACAATTATTTTGTAGAGTAAGAACAACTGTTTTAAACATTGTTTGTTCTACAATGTCCAGATATGACCAGAATGCCTAATGACTTATGATATTATAGGGGCACACAGCAAACACAACATTGAAATGTGAATTCCCTAAAGTATCAGTTGTATATACACATGAAGCACTCAGTTATAACATTTTAAATGTTCATAATGTTTTCATTATTATTAAGAAGTATTATAAATGCTTTATAACTAGGTGCAGGTCATTATGTACTTAAAAGGCATTAGAATGAATAATGACACGTGTTACAACATGCTTATGAGTCATTCGAGAGGCATTATTACAGTTTATAAGTATGCTTAGAAAGCATTGTTACCAAGTTACAAAGAGTTATAAACACATTTATAACACTGTCAATACAGGCTTCATAGAAAGTGTTACTGAACCTTTTAATTTCACAGTCTCTAAGTCTTACGTTCAGCTATGAGTTTGCTCTCATTTGCTGAAGCACACATAACAAGGGAGATGACATGTTTCTCAACTAACTGCACGGTTTCAGCAGGAGTCTTTGGCCACGCAGTGAAGACTTGCGCTTGAGAGTATACAGTACACACAGTGTCAAGGGAACAATGTTATTTTAAGTAGCACAAAACTCTAAAGAGGTGTCATAAGGAGAGGACATGTCATCTCTCAAAGATCTCGGCAAGTTTGTCATGCTGCTCAGTCCAGGTATTTTTTTAATAAAGGGTGACAAATTAAGATTTATTCATTTCCTAAACACCCATGTTCATGTATTTTGAACAAAGGACACGTCTTTATATAAACTCTTGGTAAGGTATTAAAGGGAAATTATACTGTTTTTCAAAATTTCTGCATAATTAATAATAGTTAAGATGTAAACAGTCATTCAGGTGCTTCAGCATGAAATGGTTTATTGTAGAGAAACTTACTGACGCTGATTTCTTACTTTTGGTGGTAAGAACCAGGGGTCATGATGTCTACAACACAAATAACTTTTTATTTCCTATCAAAAACAGTCAGTGAACATTTTGGGTTTTCGTAAGTCATTGTAAAACAATGTCTCCAACATGAGGCAGTGTATTCAAAACCTTTACTTGTAATAACTTTCTGTGAGGGAGCCTTTGAAGATGGACATCACCACCACTGTGAACAATTTTGACATTTCTCTAAAATGGAGCATTTCACACCAAACCACTCTGAATGACTTTGTTTATATCTTAAAGTAACCACATGGAAGTTTTTAAAAATTGGTGCAATTCCCCTGTATGATGTAGGAGCCCTTTTACTAACTGTCCCAACTGGCAAAACGGTAATGCCATATGTCAAAATGACCTCTGTTGTCAAATTTAGATTTTATTAATACAAATGATCTTCAACATCCATTTCATATTGCACTTGCTGCAGTTCACACATTTTAAGAGTTCTACAGCTGAGTTTCTTACATGTCTCTTGTGTTTTTTTATTTTATTTTATTGTGTTTTTTTAAAGAAGTGTTCAGTCTGGTATTTCACAACAGTGTGAATGCCCGTAAATCAATAATAAATGGCACTGCGTTTTGTTCTTTGAGAGATTGACCTTGTTTTTGAAGATTATTGAAGATTTAAAGAATTGGAAAGGCTTTATATGTTGGCTGGAGTGTCTCTCTTTCTCTCTCTCTCATGATGCTGGGATTCTGTTCGATGGGATAAGCAGAGAGATTGTAATATTAAGCTGTACAGTTCAAAATTTTGTCACAGATCATGTGAAGACTATAGTGTATGTGCACTTAGTCCTCTCTGTAAACATTCTACTTCTAGGTGTGTAAATAGAGTTGGCGCTGACAAGGTTTCCCAGTGCTGGTGTGGGAACTTCCATGTGCCGTGGCAACTGTGAGCAGCGAAGCAGCGTGTGCAGGTGTGCCCTCATTGCATGAACGGCCGTGCACAAGCACAGAGACGTGCACGAGGAGATAAGCCCCGTGCTTGGCGTATTTATTATACGGTTAATGGAATATAATTGAGTTTGCTCCTAGGAATCAAAAGGAGTCAGAGTAAGCGTCTTAACAGAAGCAACAAGAAAAGACGTGTTAGATGCTACTCGACTGCTGTGCGTAGCAGGGTTTTGACCAGCGAATGCTCACCCAGGAATGTTCAATCAACCATGCCTGAAATATGAGTGCCAGTTAATCTAAGAGTGAAATGAAGGGAGCATGGAGAGTGGGATAAACGCACACAGGAATTCCGAAACCATCACTGGGAAAGCTTGTGTCGAATGGCAGGATTTGGCTGCTATGTTTTATATGCTTTATTTTCTTATGTTGTCATTTTTATTCCACTATAAATACATTTTTTAAAAACATCTAGTCCATTATTGGGTTTCCAATGAAGACTTTTTTAAAGCAAAATGTCTTTTAACATTGCTTCTAAAGTTATATGTGAAAGTTTGAACACTTCCCATCAAATGACATGTTTTGGTGATTTTCTAGGTAAAAATAAGTTCACACATTCTCTACAGATATCAAACTTAAATATGGCATTTTTCTGCATTTTAGTACACACTTTTTATTTATTTATTAAGTTTAACCCTTTAAAATCCCAGTCTTATATACTAAGGCTTATTGTTCAGTAACTACAGGGACTTCAGTGCAAATTGGTTGAACTTTGGGCCCGCCGGCAGGCCCTGGCCATGTAAGGGGTTAATATACTGGCAAAAAATAATAATAATAAAATATACACTGTATGGCCAAAAGTATGTGGTCACTTGACCATCATACCCATATGAGCTTGTTGGACATCCCATTCCAAAACCTTGGGCATTAATGGAGAGTTGCCTTCCCTTTGTGGCATTAACAGTCTCCACATCCACAACAGCATTTGTGAGGTGAGGTACTGATGTTGGACAAGAAGGCCTGGTTTGTAATCAATGGATGCACCTCCACATCAAACTGGTCAAACTATGTCTTTATGGAGCTCACTTTGTGCACAGGGGCACAGTCATGCTGAAACAGGAAGGGTCTTCCCCAAACAGAATGTGATTGTCTAAAATGTCTTTGTATGCTGTAGCATTAATATTAACCTTCACTGAAACGAAGGGGCCCAAATCCAAAAACAGCCCTAGCCCATCATCCTTCCTCCACCAAACTTTATTGTTGCTACTGTGCATTCTAGTAGGTAGCGTTCTCCTGGCATTCACCAAACCCCAATTTGTCCATCAGACTGCCAGATAGTGAAGTGTGATTGATCACTCCACAGAACATGTTTCCACTGCTATGGAGTTGAGCAGCGATGAGCTTTCCACTACTCCAGTTGATGCTTGGCATTGTGTACAGTGATCTTAGACTTGTATGCAGCTGCTTGGCCATAAAAAAACATTTCATGAAGCTCCTCACACACAGTTGTGCTGATGTTGCTTCTAGAGACAGCTTGGAACTCTGTAGAAAGTGACACAACGGAGGACAAGCAATTTTTACCTGCTCTGTGAGTTTGTGTGGTCTACTACTTTGTGGCTCAGCTGTTTTTGCTCCTAGACACTTCCATTTCACAATAATAGCACTGACAGTTGACCGGT